CACCACGAGGTTACCTGATTGAATTTGATTTAAGCCGCTTGAATGCTTGATTTGGGATTTCCAATTTGGGATCAATCGTATTTGAAAACTTTCCTCTTTTTAACCGATTGTAGTAATGATTCAATTAAATGACATTCCGATCTTGTGATTTGCTTTAATTTGGAAAATGGATTCGATTTGGTTCTGAATAGCATATCCTATCTTCAGAGAATATCCTCTAACCGTTACTTTCTGACGTGGCAGGTACAGGTGGCGAAGGTCTTGGGCTTCATCGTTGCTTGCCTAAAGATAAAGTCGAGATATACAATGACTTGAAGTTGTTTTTTCAGCCTGTTTGGGAAAAGTTGCTTCAATTTGAACATGAACTCCAAGATAGATAACATTATCAGACATTTGTTCACTGCAGGCGCATATGGTGTGGTTTTGCTTAGGAATGAATCTAATAGTATCTCCTTTGTGGTAAGCCACTGCGGATAATAATGAGTTTGTTGTTTTATGATTGAGTCAAAGTGAAGATTACGAAGCTGTAACGAGTGAAGTTGTAGGAAGAACGCGATCGGTGAACGGCAAGAGAGCCAGGGCTGTGACTTTGGACTTGTCTTATTTCAAAAAAACTGTTTGGTACTTGTTTAACTGACTGCTAATGCCCTTATGTTTTGCAGCGAATCGGGAATGTGGATTATTCCGTAGTTATGCTTAGTGTGGCTTTAAGAGGTGAAGCGGTAGCAACAACTCCGTTCCATTCTATGTACGTTATCTCCAAGACTGGTCATGTTTGTGGATGATTCGCTATGAATTTTCTTTTTACCGATATTCTGATTCTTCGTTGTATGCAGGTTGCACAAACATGCTCACAATGTGCTGGTGGAAGGTTGGAGTTAATTCCCTCGTGGCTCTAGGTTGTCGGTGTGTCCGCCATATGATGCCGAAGGTATTGCTCGTGCGTAATAATAATAGAAGCTAATTCTGTATTTATTTGTCAATGGTGACTAGATCATACTTGCTTTTAAGATTCTTGTCAAGCTGTCTTAAATTTATCAGAGTCTATAAGCAATGCTATTCTCGTGTTTGCAGGTGCCTAATGCGGGGACTTGTCAAATAGAAGCAGACTGCACTGGTTTTACTAGGAATCTTTAAGATCTCAAACGAAGACGCGTTTCCAAATATTGATGCTAGGAAAGTCAGGTTGGCTGGAAGTGAAACACCGCGAACAATTCGATTTTCCATTTTGGGAAAAAGATAACAGCTGCTGAATCGTATGACTTGTGGGTGCTCTGGAGGGATTAAGGGATAAATCTATGTCCATGTTGAAGATCACTCCAAAAACACGGAAGGCGACGAGCGGGAAACAATGCTGTCTTGAATTGGGCTAGCTTGTTCATGGCAATACAGAAAGTTATCAATAGTCCTGTGTTGAAATTCTTGTACGGCTCCAAGTAGTTACTTAGAAAAACTTGTCTTAGGTCTTAGTATCAACCTCTGTCAGTATAATCTTCTGTTTGAGGAGAGAGATGTTGCAAACGTTTTCCCCTTTATATGCACTGAACTTGGTGATAACTTGTAACTAATTAGAATTTTGGCTTAAAGGTGGGTTATCAGGATTGGTTACTGATGACGGTTACGTATTATTCGAGCAGAAGTCCTTTTATAAATTACATAGTGAAATTCAAATTATTATACTTTAAAATCTAATGGGCAGCCATAGAACTGATCCAAGATCAAAACCAATAGGTGCATGAAAACGTTGCTTTCTTTGGATTTAGACAAACGTAAGCCTCAGGAAACCAATTTAATCAAACTTGCATTGGACTCGTCTCGCAAATTGAGCGGTTTCAACGTTCATGTAATCTCCTTGCAATCTAACTGAACTTGCCTTAATCCACAAAAATATAATAATTAAATATTTGCATGGCTTGAAGACCAAATCTCAAGACGGTTGAAGATGATACAAGCCCATTTGACTCTTGCATTTTAACAAAATTAACTGGTCTTTATATGTTGAAACAAATCTCAGAAGCACATGGACCATGCAAATTGATATCTTGCCTTGAAAACTTTAGATAGTGTACTCCTATTAATTTGGGTTTCAAATGATACGCTTGAAAAGTCTTGAAATCATCACTTAATTTGTATTCTGGATAAACCGTAAGCATCACTTTATTCTTTAGTTTCAACTCGTCACGCTTAAACTTGTAACCACAAGGGATAACTATGAAAGCGGCTCGACTCCATTTGAGTTCTTAGGAATAAACTTGAATAAGGTCCAAACGACCATGCCCGGAAGGATTGGATTATGAGTGTCATCCCCACCTGTATTCAATATACCTGCGCATACTTGTTAATCGTAATAAGCGTACGTAAAAAAAACGAAAGAGGTGGAATCTTTATGGTCAAAAATTAGGGTGCAACACCATGAACATGCATTTCAGAGCTCTAGGTTCGACCTTGTCTTGCCTAATATGAGCATAGGCCACACAGCCAAATACTCTCAGTCTGTCGAGACTAGGTGGATGTCCCGACCAAACTTCTTCAGGTGTCTTCATTCCCAAGGCAGTCGAGGGACATCTATTTATCAGGTAAGCTGTTGTCGAAACAGCTTCCGCCCAAAACACCTTCTTCAATCCAGCACTAACCAACATGCATCTAACCCTTTCAAGGATTGTTCGATTGAATCTCTCAGCTAAGCCATTTTGTTGAGGAGTACCTGCTACAGTCTTATGCCTTGCAATCCCAGACCCAACACAGTAACTGTCGAAAGCTTCATTGCAGAATTCAAGGCCATTGTCGGTTCTCAACCTCTTAACCTTTCTGCCAGTCTGAGTTTCGACTAGAATCTTCCAACTTTTGAAATTCTCAAAAGTTTCATCCTTCGTCTTCTGAATGAATACCCATAGTTTTCTAGAATAGTCATCAACGATGGATAGAAAATACCTTGCACCTGAGTGTGAAGGATTCCTTGCAAGCCCCCAAAGATCAGCATGAATGTAATCCAGGGATCCATGTGTTCTTTTCTTGCCTTTGTTAAACTTCGCCCTACAGGATTTACCAAATACACAAGATTCACAAAATTCCAACTTTTCGACTTTGTCACCTCCTAGCAGGTTCTGCTTCCCCAATTCGACCAGGCCTCTTTCGCTGACATGGCCCAATCTCATGTGCCATAATTCTGTCTTCGACATAGATTTCGTGGATGCAACATTTGTCGAACCACTTACAACCTCAGCCTCAAGGGTATACAAGCCTTGTTTCTTCACGCCTCTCAAGACTTCCTTCGACCCCTTCATGACTCTTAGGATACTTTTCTCTCCTTGAAAAACATATCCTTTTCTGTCGAATTCACCAAGAGAAATCAAATTTCTCTTCAAGTCAGGTACGTACCTGACTTCAGTCAATAACCTTATTGACTCATCATGGAGCTTGAATCTCACAGATCCAATACCTGCAATTTTGCAAGATTTGTTGTTTCCTAACAGCACAGATCTACCATCTTGATCACATAGCTCCTCGAACAATTCTCTGTTTGGAGTCATGTGCCAAGTGCAACCTGAATCCATAATCCACTCTTTCCTCGAGTCGCCACTTGAAACCACAAGAACATCAGATGAGTCGAAGTCATCTTGAACAATGGCTGCATTGCCATTACCTCCATGATCTTTCAGGCGTTCAGGGCACAGCTTTCTTATGTGACCCTCCTTCTTACAGTGGTAACATCGAATACTAGATGTTTCGCCACTATAAGACTTTTGTTGACTTTTACCTTTTTTCTTGTCGAACTTACCATCCTTTCGCAAGAATTTCCCCTTAACGGCCAAACCTTCGCCCACCGTCGAAGGTTTATGCTCCTTTCGTTCGTTCAAGTCCTTAGAATACAAGGCTGATTTAACTTTTTCAAAGGTCAGGGACTCCCTTCCATACAAGAGAGTTTCTTTGAAGTGAGCATGTGTTCTGGGCAAAGCACACAGCAGCAATAGTGCTTGATCTTCATCATCGATCTTCACATCAATATTTTCAAGATCAAGAATCAGCTTGTTGAACATATCCAACTGCTCAGCCAACACTTTGTCTTCACTCATCTTGAATGAATATAAAGCTTGCTTCAGGTATAGTCGATTCACCAGAGATTTGGTCATGTACAAACTTTCAAGTTTCACCCATAATCCCGATGCTGTAGTCTCCTTTGATACCTGTCGAAGAACCTTATCACCAAGGCTCAATAATATTGCGCTGTGGGCTTTCTTGATCATGCTCATCTTTTCTTTTGTCGTTAACGCAGCGTCCATGGCTGCCTCACCCTTCAACGCTTCCAAACAACCCTGCTGAACCAATAGGGCTTTCATCTTCAAGCGCCACAGACCAAAGTCGTTCACTCCGGTGAACTTTTCAATCTCATACTTTGTTGAAGGCATCTTTTCCACGCTCACCGCACCAATTTGTTGTGAATCAGACACCTTTAAACAAAGTATAAACGGTTTCTTAGTGATCAAGAAACTCACAAGAGTTAGGGTTAACAAAGAAAACAAGGTAAAACAACAAGGAACAACAAGGATTGGTTATTAAACTGCTATTCTTTCCTTTCTCTTAGAACAAGATTACAAGTATACAAGAATAACAAAATAACCTCTCTCCCTTGAAATTAGGATTTTATCTTCCTATTTTTCCTTATGCCAAGATTGAGAAACTAGCATCCTATTTATAATAAAATAGCACATGCTAACAACCTTAGCAATATTTACTCATGCTAACAACCTTAGCAATATTTACTCATGCTAACAACCTTAGCAATATTTACTCATGCATGTTAGAACAAACTTTGACTACAACACGCATTACTTGCGAACAGACTTCGACCACACTAGAGTTCGATCCAATGTCTCACACATTGTTTAATTTTGATTCAAGTGTACTGCTATGGTCTATGTTTTTGCTGGATGGAGTTTTTATGATACCGTCAATACGAGACACATTATTTTTCTAACACACTATCTCATATGTTTATGCAGAAAAAGTGAGCAGCAGTCGAGGAAAGCCTAATCCATTGGTGACTATTTCCGTTATCAAGAAACCAGAGACCACTAATGTTAAAAGCCCTGCAGAACCCAAAGAAATGGAAAAAAAGGAAGATGATACAACAAATGCTACTACTGGACTACTTTCTTTATTCCAAAGTTATGGAAGCGACGATGATTAGTTGGCATTAATTTTTGGAAGGCTATATATTCAACAGTTTCTTCCAACAGATCTTAAAATACTAAGATTTAGAATATATATATTCTTCAATTTCAAATTCTTGCAGAATTTCCTGCTGTAAAAGTATATATTTTTTGACTATTTTATCCCTCCTGGATTTTGACTATTTTTTCTCTAGTGATACCCGGGTAGAATTTTCTTTTTCCTTGGTAAGATTCGTACTCACAAAAAAGGTACATCCTTTAACAGAAAGAGATGAAACATAAACTATAAAATGCCAACATTTATTGTTGGTATATATCATTCATTTATTGTTTTGAATAGCTAGCATTCAACTTCATTTTTTTTCCTCTTGCTGAAGAACCTGAACTCTTAAGATAGAGAGAAATCACCCCTAACAGAGTCCATTCTCCGAATAGTAAGACGGTAAAGCCAAAGATCTGATTCACTAGCAAAGTAAAGCAGCAGCCTTGATCAACTATAGGAAAGTACCAGTTTTATACAAATTTTGATAGAACCTAAGATCGAGAAAGCCCGTCGTTCGGAAAACATGTTTTCTGAAGACTCCCTTGTGGAGAAAAGGCATCAGATAAGGCGCTAGAAGACTCCCTTGTGGAGAAAAGGCTTCAGATAAGGCGCTAAAAGATCACAGGCTTGTTAGCGATGGACAGACTAACGACAAGTGAGATAAAGAAAGCAGCTGGCCTTATGTGTAAAACCTTGCCGCGGGAGAGCTTTTTCTTTTTTGCGAGTGAAGTTCCTCTCCTTTTAGATGTGCATTCTGGATCTTTTTAGTCTCTTGAATATTCGATTTAGAGTTAAAAGGTGTCTATGCCACTAATCAACTCCTTAAAGAAATACAAGATAATAGTTTTTCCCGAGCAGGCACGATTTAGAGTTAAAAGGTGTCTATGCCACTAACTTTCCCATCATCAATCACTGCAATGAGATTAGCATTCCTAATAGTCGATAGCCTGTGTGTAACAATGATAGTAGTTTTTCCCGAGCAGGCACGGTCGAGGGCCTATGGAACAGACCGTTTGGATTCAGCATCGAGTGCACTTGTTGCTTCATCGAGGAGTATAAGTTCTGCTTTCCATACAAAAGCTCGAGCAATTGCTATTCTTTGTTCTGTCCACCCGATAGTTGAACTCCTCGTTCTCCATCGAATGTTTTGTATCCGTCGGGGAGAGAAGATATGAACTTGTGAGCATTGGCAAGAGTCGCTGCTTCAAAAATATCAGCTTCGGAAGCTGAGCTGTGTCCTTCCATAAGCAATGGTTTTGTATATAGTAGTAGTATTAGAGTGTATTCTGTGTTTAGGCTAAAGGTAGGAAACTGGCTACTGCCAGCCATTGTCTACTTAGCATAGCCAGTCACCTTGTTACTATACAAGTAACAAGGTGTAACTTGAATGTAACTAACTTGTAATCAAAACAGAATTCTGTTACAACAATGAAAAGCTTCATTCTCTAGATAGTTTCTAACAAGTAGCAAATAGGCATAGCTCTTGGGGCACCACTGCAATGTGTTTTCTACGGGACTTGAGATTGTATTTCCTCATGTCCTATCCATCAATCGTGATTCGGCCAGACGTTGGATCGTAGAATCTTTGTATAAGTGCAATAACCGAGCTCTTGCCACATCCACTAGGTCCTACAAGGGCAAGAGGGGGAGTTTACACGAAGACTAAGGTCGCGGAAAACCGGCATATTTGGTCGGATGAGATAAGAGAAATCAATATGCTTAAATTCTAATTCACCGTGAAGAGAGTCGGGAACATGGGCGGCATCTGGATCATCTAGCTCAACTTCAGTTCTACGGTCAAGGAGATCGAAAACCGACCTCATGGCTCGACCTCCCTTGATAAAATCAGGAGCCAAAGTTAAAGTTTCAGCAGCACCATTAGCAGAGACCATGAGGACCATAAATACTCTGATTGTTGTAGAGTAATCGGAGATGCCATGCTTCACAAGCCAATAAGCATACTTAAGACCGAGAGCATAGGAAGCATAGAATGCAAACTGAGCTATCCCATAACCAATTCCAGAAATCTGTCCCTTCCAAAAGCGACGCCGTAGTGGAGTTTCAAGGTTTGAAGCGAAAAGGCCGACAATTTTCTTTTCCGAATTAAACCAGCAACAGTCCTTACATTGGCTATAGCCTCCCCAGCTAGTTGCGTGGCCATAACATAAGCAGCTTCCAAGTCGTCAAAGAAGCCCGATATGAACATTTTCTGTAACAACAACAGGGAACACAACAACGAGAATGAGGGAAAGCCGCCACTGCAATTACAAACCCTGCAGTACAAGCAACAAGCATAAATGCAGTGTTCTGCACAATTACCGAAATTCGATCTCCAATAGCAGATCTAACATTCAGGAGAGTTCATTTTCGCAGATTGCCAGAAGGAACTCGCTTGCTCTCTGAAGGCAAGCTTCTCAAGTTTGTAATTTGGATACTATGCATCATGGGAGAGATTAAAATCAGAAAACCCCTCGAGTATAGTGATCGGCCGCCATAAGAAGAATTCCGAGTATTTATTGGTTAACTTACAGAATTCCTAGCACTGTTTTTTCTGGCATTGCTCGTCGAACTTTCATTTGCCTTCTGCATTCTGATAAGCTTGGCATAAACTCCATTTTCCCCTTTAGCAAAGAGCTCGTCGTGAGTTCCGATTTCAGAAACACTTCCTTAATGAAGTACAGCAACAACGTCTGCTTTGCGAATAGTAGATAGTCGATGCGCAATTACAAGAGCTGTTCTACCAATCATGAACCTATCAAGAGCTTCTTGAACCATATTTTTTGTTTATACAAGGCTTGTAATCAATCACACTGAAAATTATCGCAGCAGCAACTCTGGCCTTGGTAAATGCATCCATGCTTGGTGCAGACTGGCCTAAAGCCAATCCACCAATCATGACAGCAAGCATTGTAACAATTGCAAGTCCTCCATTGGTGTAGTGATGTCTAACCAAATATCCATCGGTTCCGTCCTAAAATATCCAAATAATGGAATAATATCTTTATTTTATTCTGCTCTGCTCCATTTTATTCAGTTCGTTTTACTGTATTCAATCATAGGCTAAGGGTGGAAAAAGAAGTTCACAGATATAAAAACTAATTTTGTATAATTTTATTACACTTTAACTAAGACTCGTAATTAAATTTTATCAGTGATCCTACAAGTTGGACAAATTATATTCAGAATTGTTGAATAAAAAAGGATCAAAATTTAAAGAAAAAAACTATGGGGATTTTAAAAAATATATAACAAATTAAATCTTATCCTACTAAGAGGAATTATATACATGGATCAAATTCCACATAATCCTATATCTAATACCATATTTCTATCCAATTTATTAATATGGAGATCTTTCTTAATCTCTTATAATTTTTTTAGATATTCTTCTGTCACTAGTTGTTTGTTTGACTCCTCTCCATACATACTATTCTCCTTACAATGCAATCTACATGTCTTCTCTCAATACATCTCTTCCGCTAGGGAATTAGAATTAATCGAAAATTAAAGGTTGCGAGATGCTACAATAGATTTGAGCTTCTGATACGGTGAGAGAGAGACCGACCTTCATGGTTAGAACTCTTACGGTCAAGTTAATGTGTGAGTTAGATGAATGAATAAAATTTAAATTTAAATCGTATTTAGAAAATGACGCACTTCCTCATTATAGAATGGAGCGATTATAAAAACTTACATCTGCACAAGGAAACAAGGTTTGTGGCAATTCATTCTTAGATTGTGCTGCTATTAAATGAACCAATTCACCCAACCAACAATTATGAGAACAGCACTAGATAGACTTATGAAAATAAGAAACAAGTATAATGATGAACCAAAGAATGCCAACTTACAACCTATGAATTTAACAACCATCAAAGGTAAAAAATGTGGCAAATTAAATTCTTCCTCCCTATATTTAAATATTGATTAATATTTTAAATAAGTTTTTTTATCCTATTGCCATTTCCTTCAAAATTAAATTTTTACATTAAATTTTTATCCTAATCATTGCTACTTCATTCAAAATTTAATTTTTATCTTAATTATCACAAACACATCTAAAAAGAATTGCAAAAAAAAAGGAGATCAAAAAAATTCCAAGAATTATAAAATAGGGAATCAAAAAATTGAATTTTAAAATAGAAAAATCAAAAGGTTAAAATTATTAAAATAGAAGGAGTAAAAAGTTAAAAGGAGGATCAAAAGGGCATTTAAATTTATTAAATTTTAAAGTTTTTCTCTCTTTAAAAAAAAACGAGAAAGTTGGAATCGTGTAACACGTGCTCTAAAAGGAAGTTTTATGTCAAAAAAAATTATTTTCAACAAAATCAGAATTAAATATTTATAAGGTATCTAAGAAATACATGGGGGATAATCCCTTAAATTTTTCTGATATTTTACACATCCAAATCCTACAATTTAGAAGTGTAAAATGCTCACTTAAAAATTTTCATGAATATTTACATTTCTTTGAGTCTACAATCCAAAAATATTATAAGTTACCTCAAATTTTATCAGTTTGTTTATATTAGAAGTAATTCATATTTATTAGTTGTACTATTACTTATCCCCTAAGTTTATTAGAGGGTATTTCAGTATTTTATCTTATTTTAGTAACCCTAGTTTTAACTTATAAATAGGGTAGCAATCATTGTGATTTGTATGATTGTTGTGTAGCCGTCATTCTCTTAATAGAATCTTTCTCTGTTCATCATTTATTCACCTTTGCACCAACAATTGGTATCTAGAGCTCCGGCTCAGATTCATGGGGAAACACGGGAAACACGAGTGAACGTGAGGCCTTGTGTGTTTGATTTTGATTCTTAGATTCGTGTTGAATCTTGAACAAAATCTGATCAGAATTTTAATTTTGTGGGTTGGGAAACACTGTGTGAGAAATCTGAGTGTACTGTGCAAGGTAGAAGATGAACGGAAACGACAACATGAACACCAAACTTCTAGTATTTGACGGTA